GTATCTACTAAAAATAGAAAAAAAACTGAGGCAAGAGTATCACTTGAGCCGTTGCTATGAGCTATGATGCCACAGCAGTGGCATAGCTTGTGACTCTGTCTCAAAAAAAAAAAAAAAAAAGTTCTAGTGTTCTATAGTACTATAGGTGGAATACAGTTAGAGAAGATTTATTGTATATGTTCAAAAGCTAGAAAGGATTTTTTTTTTTTTTGAGACAGTCTCACTTTGTCACCCTCAGTAGAGTGCCATGGTATCATGGCCCACAGCAACGTCAAACTCATGGGCTCAAGCGATTCTCTTGCCTCAGCCTCCCAAGTAGCTGGGACTATAGGTTCCTGGCATTTTGAATGTTCCCAGCACAAAAAAATAGTAATTATTTGAGATGATGGATCCCCTGATATGATGACAACATTGTATACATATATCTAAGTAGTACACTATACCTCATTAATATGCACAATTATGTGTCAACTAAAAATAAAAATAAAATGTTAAATTAAGATACAAATTCAACCTGATTCTGGAAAGATTTGAAGGAGTTTTCAATAAAAACTACATTAGCAGCCAAAAATATTTAATGGGAGTTGAAGCTGAATAATCAAAAGCAATTTTTTCTTCTTCCTAATTAACTAAATGCACATTTGAGTCAGAGATGTTTTATGTTTTTGATTTATTTGCAACTCCTATTAAGATATTTTGTTAAAATGCACGCACATAGTATCAGAGCCAGGGACAGATTTTGTGAAATTATTTCTCTGTCATTAACCAGTGCATTGTGAAATCCTGTTGGAATAGCAGACGCCTGCTTTTCCATGGAGCCAGCGTATCTGTCTTCTTGCCGCTGACCTGCGTCAGACCTGCCACCCATCACAAAGCCAGCTGCATTGAGATCCCTGAATTGTGCAATCCCGGGTACAGCAAATAGTTACCTGGAGCACAGAGGTCAGTACATTGACGTGTTTGCTGTTTTGAGCCCAGGTCTGAAATACAATTGAATTGATCTACCTATACAGAGTGGTGATCCATGTCTCTAAAATGCTGTCCTCAAGAGGCCAGAGGGTTCCTAGGGAGTTGCCCTTAGAACAAAACTTACATGAACACTTTCTTGATTCAGTGCCAACCAGGTGATTTTTTAAATCAGTTCTCTGTGATCCTGTAAGATGTTAAACATTTTAACATCTATGTGCCGAAGAGCCACTGTTGAGAGGGATTTTAAGCTGCACAGGAGATTTTTATAAAACACTATGATGGGGGCCATGCACAGTAGCTCATACCTGTAATCCCAGCATTTTGGTTGGCAGACGTAGGACAACTGCTTGAGCACTGGAGTTTAAGGCTGCATTGAGCTGTGATCATGCCATTGCAAGCCAGTCTGGGTGATGGAATAAGACTCTGCCACTTAAAAAAAAATTATGGAAGGAGATGTATTCCAGGAGAAATAACTTCTAGTTCCTGCAGAACTCTTGCATTTGTAATAAAAGGAAACTTTCTGGGGGAGAGTCCTACACAGCATAGCAATTAGGGGCTGATCCTTAGAATTGAACAGAACTTTGTTGAGTCCAGCTCTTTCTGTGGCACCTATAGAACTTTGGATGAGTGACATGACCTCTCTAAATCTTGTTTTTTCCACCAATCTCATTCCTACTGGCCATTGTGGTAGTACAGGGACACAGTGGGCAAGGCAGATAGAGGGCAGATGGATGAAAGTTTGTACCAAGGTAACTTCATAGATTAAGGGTTAAAAATCTAAACAAAATCTCAACTTTTTTTTTTGAGACAGAGTTTCACTCTGCTGCCCTAGGTAGAGTGACATGGATCACAGCTCATAGCAACCTCAAACTTTTGGGCTCAAGTGATCCTCTTGCCTCAGCCTCCCAAGTAGCTGGGACTACAAGCATGTCTGCCTCTCTATTTTAGTGGAGGTGGGGGTCTCTCTTGCTCAAGCTGGTCTCGAACTTCTGAGTTCAAGAGATTTACCCACCTCAGCCTCCCAGAGAGCTAGAATTATAGGCGTGAGCCACCGTGCCAGGCCTTGACTGTTTTTTACAGCATAAATTGAGGCCGAGTGTTGTAGAGGGAAAGGCTGGGGAGAGTGGGGAGAGAGAAGAGGAAGGGGCTAAAGGAAGTCAGGTCAAAGCACTAAGTTGGGGTTCAGTGCTGCTTGGGACTGGGGCACAAGCCACCACCTAGAGCACTAGCCACTCACACTGTGGACTGCTCCTGCAGGCTCTTGGAGCAAAGGGGCTTCAAAGGAGGCGGTTGTGCAGTCACCCACGGCTGAGGCTTCAAAAAGGTTAAGTAACTTACTAAAGGGATTACAGGGACTTCTGCAAAAGCATCTTGGCTCCAAGTCCAATACTGTTTCTAATCTATAACAGGGGATCTAGGCCTGTCCTCAATCAGGTTTTCCTGGGGCTTCATTTTCCTAAGTTGCAAGAGCCACTGGACCAGATGACACTGCCAATCCCTCAGTCCCCCAAGCTGCTGTTACGGTAGATTCTCCTCCTGCACTTGCTTCCAACTAGTTATGTTAACTGTCTCTTTGGGCAAGTCATCCCAACTTCCTGGCTTGTTTCGGTGATTAAATTTTGTTCCAGAAGCTCAAGTGCTAAAGCTCGAGTGCTGATTCTGAAGAGTGCCCTCCTTTCGGGCGCTCTGATACCTTTACAGCAGCTACCACAGCCAGGAAGCGCCGTTCAGCTGTGCACTCTTGCTAAGCACCAAGTCACAGCTAATAGTTCAATCACACTGGCAATACTCCAACAGCCCATTCAAGCAAGGTTAAGAGTTGTAAAAGAAAACGACACCATGTTTTAAGTAAGAAAACACAGTGTAGAAAATGAAAATGAATACACAGAGGCAGAACGCAGGGAACTGGAAGGTTGCTTCTGAAGGAAAGCAAGATCCTTCTGCCTGAGGTGTTATCTCTGGTCTTAGGGCACTAAAGACGATTACCCTTGCGATGTAACAGCTTCCTTGGATATTTTCAGCTTATTCATAAAATGCCAAAGAGCCACGGTATCGCCTTAAGAGTAACTAAACAGATCAGTGAGGCACCGTTTTCATCAGGTCCTTTCAGGAATGTCATCTGCCGGCCGGATTTCGTTGGGGGAGGTGGATTAGGAAATGGCTTTTTAACATTTTTCTTTTTTACCAGCAAAAAGCGAATTTACTTCTTATCACTACAATTCCAGTATTTGCATACTCAATTATCATTTACTATGAAGCCCTTGGTTCCCGAATATCACTTGGTCCTCCATTGTAATTTAGAACGAGGCCTCCGTCTCCAGCCCCGGGGTCCCGGGCCCTCGGCAGCGGCTCGGCGGGGCCGCGCGCCCACTTCCGCTTCCCGGCGGGCGCGGCG